TGGCATTTGTTTAGCATAGCGTATACCTTAGTTTCTTATACACTGTTTTTTTTTTACACATTATATTTTTGATATTTTTTGGTTAACTGGGATCTTGAATATATAATTTTGTTCCGCCAAGTAATGACAATAAACTTGACTTTAATTTGGAATATATATATATATATATATATACTTCTCTCTTTCTCAGGGCTTGTGAATTAACTCACACAAAAAACTTACCATTTTTTTTTTACACCGGACGTCCTTCCTGCCTCAACCACAGTCCACCGAGCTACCACAGCCCTCTGTGTGGAGCAGAGAGCTGCTGGGCACCCGGGGAAGTAGATGACATAATCTCTATTATACTATTACTTGGTTAAATAAATAAGTAAATAAATAAATACACAGTGTCCTTTTTTAATATTTTAGAAACAAGTTATATAAACGACATCCTACATATAAATCTTTCGACGGCACTGATTAAGCAAATCTTGTTTTTTCTAGAAACAGGAATTTCACAAAATAGCATTTACATTTGTTTACTATGGTGTCCTATGCTTAGATTAAGGTTATTGCAAAGATAGGAACAGTTTAAAATAGTGTTTTCTTTAATGTTTTGCAAGTTGTACTCACTGAAACGTAGTCTTTGACGTGTTCCTTAACGCAAAGCAGATTAGGATGTTCATGCTGCTTTGTCATCATCCTGTACCTGAAACTAGTGAGAACCCTGCTCTCAATTTAAACAATCTACAGTCTACTTCACTTTCTCCCATTTGCGCTTGTGTACCCCGCGGCCACAGATTATTCTGTTTGTGACATTTCTTTAAGAAACTTGTCATCCATAACATCAGCAGGACACAGACTTAGTGCTTGAAATCATTTATGTAGCCCAGAGCAACTACACCCTCATGTCTCTGTAGTCACAGCTCTCATTTTCATCAATGTGTTTACCACTTTATTCTATATTTGCTAATAATTAACAGTTCAACAAACAAACAACCCTTTAGGATTAACCACATTAAATGAAAAAAATGCCCCCCCCCCCCCCAAATCATTTGCAATTGTTTTGTAATGCACCATTTCTCAACTTTTTGTGAACAACATCACCACCTGGTGGAAAGAGCCATTAAAAGTCATGTTCTGAGGCGATATTCTCCTTCGGCAGAACAACCAGAACTATCACATGCTGCGTTTATCTAAATGAATTAAAGTATAGCTGGTTTAAAGC